GTTTACCTTTATGTACAGAATCTGAATATCGCAATTTTTTTTATTTTTTTTAAAAATTGCAATAATATAGTATCGTGCGTTAAGTATTGTGATAATATCGTATCGTGGGATGTATGGTGATTCCCACCTCTAACAATTACACAGTTAAAGAGATCTTCAATTGTATTTATTATGTTGTAGGATGCTAGCATCAGTAGCACCATCATCTATATATCTGTTTATCAATGCATCCATCCATCTATCCACTTATCTTTAAATAAATTAGTTTTTTCCCAGAAAACCTTTTCTGGGAAAATGAATAACAATGAAATCTCAACTCTCATAATGACAGCTAAATCACATCAGTTCTCCTAAAATACTGGGAGCACATTTCATTCAACGGTGCAGAACAAACTGAGGTCATTTTTTTTTTAATTCCAGCAACCGGTTAACCATTACAGAAAGGACCAACCTTGCTAAACAAACACATACACATATAGCTCTGTAGTGTGTGAAAGTGTGCTGGTCATGTGTGTGCAGTCATGAGACAGCACAGTGACAGGAGGTGCTGTTAGAGGGGGGGACACTACGCTCTGCTACTCCCGCTCCTGGAGAAATTGTAGCTATCAAGAGTGAAGGCCTGAACACACCATCAGCAAACAGACGTACGCATATACAGAGTGCTTCTCCATCACAATCTTCTTCAGTTATCCATCCAGAACCAATTTAAATAACTGAAATAGTTGACATGAGGCCAACACGGACAACCTTCCTGCCAGTAACACATACTGGGGTGGAGATATATTTGAAGGCGTGCGCTCTCCAAGAAACGAATGACTGGGCTTAGATGAAACTAACTAGTGCTATATACATATATTTTTTTAAAATCTGATCACTATCACAAAGACGAGTAAAATTCATACTTTCAATCCTCCCACCTTAATTCAATACAGCTGCTGTTCCAAAGACGTGGGAGAGACAGTGAATGAATGAACTGTGCAGAAACTTTGCGCAAACTCTGCACACATGTGTAAAACAAACAGAGAAACTGTGGGATATTCGGCACACGCTTCAGAGTACACACAGAGGCGTATTAATATTTTAGCAGACTGCCCACTGTTGACTGGGTAACCACCACCTTATCTAGGCTGCCTGGGTTGGGTTTCCACTGGTGAACAGCTCAGACTATACAGCGAAGCAAGAGATCAAACGCTAACGTTCTGGAACGACAAAACTGACCCACATGCTTGTTTTTCCATTTCCAAAAACTCAAATATAGACACAGACAGCATTTGTGTCTTAATACAAGTAATATAATGTAAAAGTAAAGCATCTGTAAAGCCGGTTTAGTGCTTCTAGCTGAACAATACTGAGAAGAAATCAAATCTCAAAGTAGTCTTGAGGTCAGACGTGACACCTTGACATTTGGCATCTTCCCTACAGCAACGATACAGGTGCGCACACATAGCAGTACAGCTTTAAGCAATCAGGGATCGTGCTTCACAGTAAAAGCTACTTTCAACTGCTCCATTGTTCAAAAGGGTTCGCTGTGCATGTTTGATTTGGCAGATTTTAGGTGAATAGTTCACCTAATAACGGAGCGAAAGTCAGTGTAGTTTTTAAGGAAGTTAAACAAAACCCCCAAACATATATAGTGTGTAACAAACATATATGATATGGTATATATGGTCTGGTATGATATACTGTATTCTGGCCAGAATGTATATGGTATGTTAGAGTTATAGATAAAATAGGGATATGATGTGCTTATTGTTTGTTTATGAATTTTACAAACTAGTTAACAAGTTAAGAAAAGATCTGGCTGCTGGACCCAGGATGGCAGCCTTCCCATGCACTGGTGGAAACTTGGACACAGGCTGACATTCATAAATATGCTGCAGACAGTCCTGAGAGTTTTGTAAACAACAGAATTGGAGCATTTTGCTTGACAAACTGTGTGATGACTATTTCCGAATTACTCCAAGCATCTCGTCTGAGACGGGCCAATATCAGTATCTGGCTCTACTTCATACCCACCCTGCCTTACTACCTGACATAGCATTTCACAGCATCAATATGTTTAGATGCAGCCAACGCAGAGCTTGGAGAGATAGGATGATGTGACAGATGTTAACAGATGGCTAACCCCCCACACACCCTCTGACTGCCCCTTCAAAGCAAGACGCTTTGATGAGCCTGTCATCACCCACAGAGCTGTGGCAGGGATGAGGAGCTGTTTCACGGGAGCTGTTGGATGACTCATTTCGAGATTATATAAAGGCTGAGATTTAATCTGCGAATCCAGAATAGTTACAACTAGAATTTTTAGGCTAACCCTCGAAACATTAGGCCTCTCTTCACCAACTCATCACAGCATTCATTCAGAGGCCAAGTGGCTGCAAAGTCAACTCAAATAAGTGACTGCATATACTTCTCACCAAACGGGCCTGACAGTAAAAAGCCTTTAGCTCACAATATAAATGACAAGAGCCTAAATATCTGCATATGTGGTGTGCTCTCGGTGAGTAATCTCCAGGTAAACTTTAATGATCTAGCGAGATGCTTCCTCTAACTGCCTGTTAGCTAGACTAGCTAGCTGTCAGTAACGTTGGCAGCGTTTTTCTATTAAAACC